CAAAATAGATAGATAGATAGATAGATAGATAGATAGATAGATAGATAGATAGATAGATAGTAGTGCTGTCAAACAAATAATCGTGATTAATCGTATCCAAAATAAAAGTTTTTGTATACATAATAAATGTGTGTGTACTGTGTATACACACACATACAGTGTATATTTTGAAAATATTTACATGTATTTACATGTATATATTTATATTCATATAATTTATATTATATTATAAATATATTTAATATATAAACATAACTTTTTTTTTTCTGAAATATATACACGCATGTGTATTTATATACAAGTAATAAATATACACAGTGCACACACATATATTATGTAAACAAAATTTTTTTATTTTGGATGCAATCGCGATTAATCATTTGACAGCACTAACTGATTGATTGATTGATTGATTGATTGATTGATTGATTGATTGATTGATTGATTGATTGATTGATTGATTGATTGATTGATTGATTGATTGATTGATTGATTGATTGATTGATTGATTGATTGATTGATTGATTGATTGACTAACTGATTGATTGATTGATTGATTGATTGATTGATTGATTGATTGATTGATTGATTGATTGATTGACGCTCCCAAATGTTATCACATGCATCACATGACCAGCTATGTAACTGAGTTATATAGTCACCAGTTGTGTTGTCATTGCAATAATTTCACATCTTGTTTTCTGTGTTTCTGTTGAAAATGCAAAACCCTGATAACCTTGATTGGCACTGTATCTACTGCAAGTTAAAAGGCTATCAGTAGTGAAAGTGCTCAATTAAAAATTGCTCATCTCATCTCTCTGAAACCCGCCACATGAAATGTTTCAGGGCTGTTTACAAAAAGCCTGGCTCTGGCACATTGCAGCAAGGGCAATCAGAGCAGATATTCCTCAGTGGAGGGAGCTTCTCTCTGGAATGGATGACTGCAGTGGTCAAGTTCGGAGACCTGGCAGCCCGAGTGTCCTGGAGGTCTGGCACTCATGTGTGAGCGTGCCTCTTCACATTGTAATTAAACCGCCGTCCCTCAAAAGTCTGTCAACACCAGAGACCGATCCAAGAGCATCTGAATGCCAAATGCACTGCCCTCTATAGTCTGCTGGTAGCACCCAGCCTGTTTTTCTTCTCATATCTTTAAACTTCAGAGCTAAACCTATTGCAAATATCAGTAGTGAAGTGTATTAGATTTTAGCCGCCATCACATTGAGAAGGCGAAATGATGATGCCCTTCTTCCTGGTTGCATCTAATGCTTTTCTACTCTTACAAGGCCGGTATTGGCAGCGCTTATCCATTTAGACTGATCCAAAATCAGTTTTGAGGAAATAATGCAATAGTTTATGGTCTGCGAGAGAAATCTGCTCACTGTTCAGCAAGGGTTGATCAATACCGAATTATTTCGATGGTGCAAGCCTGCCACCTGCTGCTAGTTTTTCATTTCATCCATGCTGTACACATTTGTTAGGAGTTTTTGAGCAGCACTGCCAAAAAGTCTGCTGGATGGGCAATGCAACCATCTGTTACCGTATTCCTTGTTATGTTTACCAGAACATCCTTCAGAATGTGCCGGCCCCTACTCGCTGTTTTGGCTCGCGGCGAGAATCTGTAATCTTTTATTCTTTGTAATCTCGTGTCCATATGTAAATTGATATGTAATTTAAAAGATGTTCTGAATGGAAAGAGCTCAATTAGTCATGCCAATGCGCGTCACATACGCCTGCAATCTATTGCGTATGAACTACGTTTTGTATAAAATATACTTTGTTTTTCGCAACATTTTATCACTTGTTTCATAGAACGGCAGCACAACCCAATTTAACCTGAGGTACAGCTCAAAGGTCAAAAAGTCATTTCGCACACAATGACTGACTCTCCTTCACCTTGTTTACAGAAGTTTTTTTGTAACACTTTATTTTAAGGTCTCCTTGTTATACGTTACATGTACTTACTATTATAATAAATTATGCATAATTACATGCAATCCTAAAACAAACCCTAATCCTAACCTTAACCATAAGTACATGTACATGTAGTTAATTAATATTACTCAGTACTTAAATGTATAATTACACTGTAACAAGGACACCTTAAGATAAAGTGTAACCATATCTTTCCCATTTGCCATTCCCACAGAATTTAATTTAAATAATAAACAAGTCCATTATACGCATGAACCAAACCAACCAGTACTAATGTTATTTAATTATTTATTTTATTTTAAATATTTATTTATTAATTTTTATTATTATTACTTTTTGTTGGGAAAAAAAAATCCAAATTTGATATATATATATATACATAACGTTTATACATTATAAATCAGTTAAAAATCAATTTCTCTGTGTAGGATTTTTTATTTTATTTATTTTGGACCAACTGCCTTGTCTCTCTATGTCTCTCAGAACCGAAGAAATGCTTTATTACTGTACACCTGGCTTTTAGCCTACTACAGCATCATGCATACTTACATAATAAAAATAGATGTATTGTTTTTGTTGAGCATGTCAGTTGCCTGTACCTGTTCTGGGTGTGAAAAATTTTTTTTGTTAATGGGTGAAACTGAGGTATATTTACACAAACATTCAACCACATTATGATAACATAGGCTATATGCTAAATGCTTGTGTTCGGTTTGTGTAATTTCATAGCCGCCCACACAGCCAGGCAAAATCATTGTAGTTACGTCATTACCCCCCAGCATCCAGTAATGAATGGCCAGTGCCGATTACGTCACTACAGGGCGGGGTTGCGCCATTTTGAATGTTGAGAGAAGTGTAGGAATATAGAGCTGTAAGGAGGCTGGGTTGCAGGAAAAAAGCCTTAGGATCTTAAGATTTAGGCGTAAACGAAAGGACTACTGAAAAGAGTTTCTTTCTGAGGTCCGTCTTCATCCATTCCCAGACGAACTGCTTGCAATAAAATAAATCCGGCAAAGTTATCGGGACAGTTCTGTTAGCAAAAATTAGCAGCATCAAGCGAAGGTAAGAGCCGGAAGTGACGTATAGCGGACCCGAAAGCGTAATTTTCCTTCAAAATACAGCTAGAATAATCTAAGCTTTTAATAAAATTGAATATACACATCGTTGTAAGTTTTAATATGCCTACATTTTAAGCATTAATACTTTAGAGAATTATCTCAGTCCACTTTATTGTAATTGTGACAAAATAATGTCAAATAAAGACGAATAACAAAATAATGTTATTACTTACTTTTTTAAGTAATGGAACATACATATTTTATTTTCAAAATGGTGTAACCCCGTTTTATACGGTATATCAGTTATTTATTAATAATCTAAATAAATTGCACTTTAACGTAGGTTTCAAGATCTTAATGTAATTTATTAATAATTTACAGATTTAAGGCAGATTGATTAATGTAGTAATTTAATGTTTTCAAAATGTATAATGACTATATATATATATATATATATATATATATATATAAAGAAACATCTA